CATTTCTCTGAAATCCTGCTGTGACTACAACAAGAAATGTCAATGGAAGAATCCATAATCAATCTATAAATCAAAATTAGGGTGAGTTTATTATGAGCCAGTTTTGAGGACTATAGCCAGGACTTCCTTCTCCAAGGAAGAAAGAGCACCAAAGAAATGGGATGTACAGAGCAGTTATGGAGCATCTTGGAACAAAGAGTATACATCACATATGGCAGGAATATCTCTCTTCCTACAGTCACAAGATGCTTAGCTGGCACAACAAGTTGGTGGTCACAAGGTGAATGCAGCAGGTCAGAAATAAATCCTTAGCTCCCAGGAAGTGATGCTTATCCTTAAAGAAATGCTGTATGGGGGTAAGTTACATCCCTGTGTTTAAAGGCATCATCCTTGCCTGTGGGACATTGTAAATGTTTAAAGCAGATGTACAATGAATGCTCAACAGGCCATGTCAAGCTCTTTTGGAAACAGAAGTTCAGGCCAAATTAGTTGTAAACCAAATGGCTTCCTCTTATACTCCAATATAGACTATTGCTTTTCACTTATTCATCAGGTCCCTGTTTTAAAAACCAAACATTGCTTGGGGAAACAAACAGTCTCCTACTTCAGAATGTTTTTTCTGAAACAGATGAAACCCCTGATTTATTGCCACGAGCACACAAGCATGATTGAGTGGCTCCAATCTTTCCAAAAACCCTCCCACAAAAGCCTAAATGCACAAAAGAAGAAATGAGACAGCAGGAAAAAAGAACACATATACAAAGGAAGTTAAGGAAAAAACATTTTGCTTAACTCTATACAAATATATGGAAAACTGAGATGAAATGGATAATTTTCTAGGAAAATATAATTTACCAATACTGACTCCAGAAGAGAAACATAATCTAAACAGATAAATTACCTGCTATGGAAAAACACACTCCTCTGTTTCTCCTTTACTCTCACACGACTACCACGCTACTTCTGGCACTAGATGTGTGTGTTCCTTTCCCCTCACAGAGCAATTTTGTGATTTCTCAGACACCAGCTGGGTGTCCTACAATTTTACTCAGTTCTAACACTGTCTTCCTGCAGTTTGTGTCAGATCCCACAGGTTTAGGGCTCAGCCCCACAAGACTATCATCCCCCGACTTCAGACGCCAGTCACGAGTCCAGGTTGTTACCGACTGGCTTCTGACTGGTGGCCTAAACATCGGAGGTTCCCATGAGCTCCTGGTCAGGTTGAAGGAATTTGCTAGAGCAGCTCACAGAACAATGGGAAAATAGTTTACTTGCTAGATTCTTGGTGTATTATAAAAAGATATAACTCATGAAAAGCCAGACCGAAGAGATGCACAGGGCAAGGTATGTGGAAAGGGTGTGGAGCTTCCACGCCCTCTGCAGGTGGGCCACCCTCCAGCACCTCCTTGTGCTCACCAACCCAGGAGCTCTCCTACCACCACCCTTTGGGTTTTTATGGAGACTTCGTTAGATAGGCATGATTGGTAGACGTTACCAGAGGATGGGGAGGAGGAAGAGAGAGTAATTATTTGGTGGGTACGGGATGTTCTCTGGGATGATATAAATGTTTTGAAACTGGAGAGAGGTGGCAGTGGCACAATATTGTGAATACACGAAATGCCACTAAAAAATATGCACTTTATAGTGTTAATTGTTTGTATGAGGATTTCACTTCAGTGAAAAAAAAAGACATGCACCTAAGAGTAGCTGGTATAATTCTGACAATACCACAAAAAAGAACAAAAACTTAGAAGCTTCCAAAGGAAAAATACTTTGAAAGGAAAAATAATCGAACTTCTTGCCTGCAATAATGGAAGCTTGATGACAGTGAAAGGACATCTACGTGCTGCTTAAAGGAAAGGACAGAATTGACAAATCCTTGCAAATCAGCTAGATGTCACTTACTAGACAACTAGATGTCACTAGACGTCAGGGTGAAAGGAAATGTTAGCGCTGAGGTAAGGATTCAGGGAATATATTGCCAAAGAGTCCCTTTAAGGGAAATCCTCAAAAAGGTTCTCCATCAAGTATCAAATTCATCATAACAGAGATCTCCAGATTTGGGAAAGATAGAGTCAACAATGACAGCAAAAAAACACACAATTTTAATTAAACACAATGGATGATGGTAATGTGACTGGGAATTTGCGATTTAAGTGAAAAGTAAAGATTCTTGGAATAAAGAAGTCATATTTTTGGAGAAAATCTAATAATGTCTGGAAATAGAACGCTTGACTGTTTCGGTAAAGCCTCTAGGTTGGAAGGCTGCTGCAGGGAGAGGGGTAAGAATGTTACAAGACTGTGAGGTGGCAGAGAACGTGGGCTGCTGAGTGTTCCACATTCTCATCCTACTTGGGGTGGTGAGCAGTGGGACACAGAGGGCATAGGGGTATAATTTGAGTACTTAATATAATAGCAGAGAAATGTATGTATTACGGGGGTAAGCACCAGTGGAATGGAGAAGCACCAAAGAGTTTTGGAAGTACTCAGGAGGAAAAGAAAAGAACAGAGAGCAGCCTGGCCTCACTTCTCAGCAGGGCTGTCACAGTGCCCTCCCCTCCCTTCCTGAAACTCCTTCTTTGGCTTTTGCGACACTGCGCTCACCGGCTTTTCCCACTGGCTGCTCCTTCTCCCTCTCTCTTAGTGGTGGTTGGTGCTACACCATCTTTTCTTCCCTAGCTATAATCCCCTCCAGGTGATTTTAGCTAATCCCATGGCTTTAGTAGCATGGCCGGGTTGAGGGCCATGTCTCCAGCCCTGACCTTCCCTGAGCTTCAGACCCAGACTCTACAGCCTATTTAACATCTTGGAAGCCAAGATTAACATGTATAAAACCAAATTCTGTTTTATGCCTCCCCTCACCCCAAACCTGTTCCTCTCTATGCTTTAATAATAATTACAGGTGGCCAGCCCCATGACCTAGGGTTAAGTTTGGTGTACTCTGCTTTAGCAGCCAAGGTTCAGTTCCCATGCGTGGACTTACACCACTCATTGCCGGACATGCTGTGGTGGTGACTCACATACAAAATAGAAGACTGACATAGATGTTAGCTCGGGGTGAATCTTCCTCAAGGAAAAAGAGGAAGATTGGCAATAGTTCTTATCTCAGAGCCAATCTTCCTCAGCAAAAAGGAAAGAAAGAGAGGAAGAAGGGAAAGAATGGAAGAAAGAAGGAAAGACAAGAAGGAAAGAGGGAAGGAAGGAAGCAAGGAAGGAAGGAAGGAGGGAAGAAAGAGAAAGAAAGAGAGAAAGTTAGAAAGAAAGAAAGAAAGAAAGAAAGAAAGAAAGAAAGAAAGAAAAATATTTACTCCTCAATAAATGTCACACCATCTACCCACTTACTTAAGCCCTAAACCAGGAAGTCATCCTTGATTCTTCTTTTCCTTCCCTCTGACATCCAGTCCATCAGCAGTCCATATCAGCTCTACCTCCCAATCTTTCTTGAGTCTCTCCACTTCTCCCCATCCTCTGCCACCATCCTTCTCTCACTGAACCTATTGCAAGAACCCCTCAAGTGGAATCCCTTTTACTACTCTTTCCCTCCTATCAACCATTCTCCAGACCGGATCTACTCTAAAGTGGTCGTTAAGAATGTAAATCACGTGATATCACTTTGCTAAGAACCATCTGGCAGCTTCCTGTTGCACTCAGACTATGTCCAATCTCCCTACCGTCCCTGCGAAGCCTTCCCTGCTCCGTCTCCTGTCTTCAGATCTCTGCTTCGCTCCTTCCGCCCCAGCCGCAGCGCTCCTTCTGTCCCACATGCGGGCCAAGATCATTTCTGCACTGGGAACTTGGCTCATGCTCTTTCCTCTGCCTGGAATAATTCATTCTGTCCGGTTGTCATTTAGGACTCACCTTAATTGTCATCCACTCATAGGGGACTTTGTTGATGAACGACCCACACCCCCAGATCTCCACGAAACCACCACTATTCTATTACATTATCCTAAGTGTCAGTCAGGGTTCTTGCTTACAAGCAAGAGAAACCAGCTGACTAATCGAATATGTATATGTTAGAGCGTAGCAGGTGACCCCCAGAGCTTTGAGGGGTCCAGACGGCCAGGCTTTGAGACCACTCATCCAGGAGCCACACCCTGAGTCACACCACCAGAGCTCGTCCAGCAGAAGCTGGTCTGTTAATCCTGGCCAAGACATCACAGCTCAAACCACAGTACCACTGACCCTGGACACTTTCTCTGCCTCAGAACTGCTGCCACCACTGCCTCAGGCAACTACAGGTGGCTACTGCCATGACTGCCATTGTCAACAGCACAGATCCTGTGGGCTGCCTCCCTTCATGTCATCAGCTTGTGTTTGAAAGTCTGTGATAGGTGCATCCGATTGGAAGGACCCAGTTCATGTGCAGTCTCAGCCACAAAGGAGGCTGGGAAAGTATCTGGCATTTATAGCAGGAGGTGGGCTCTGCCTCATAAGGCAGAAATTCCACAGATACGTGAAGGAAGTTCAGATGCCAGGCAACGGAGATGAAATCTATGCCACATCCTTTTTATTTTTTTCACAGCACTTATAACTGTCTGAAGTCATTTGTTTTCCCTGCTTTTTCCAGCAGTCTCTCTCACTAGAATGGACGCTCCATGAGAGCAGGGACCTGGTCTTCTTGTTCATCACTGTGTCCCCAGCAACCTCAACAGCACAGAGCTCATTAAGCATTTACTGAAGGAAGGCTGGCTGAGGGCCCAGAGGGAGAAAAATTTGTATCAAATAAGTAGAATTTCAAGGAAGGGAGAACAGTCACATGTCAAATGGCACAAGATGGTCCTGAAAGACTAGGACTGACCAGTGACAGTTGACTTTGTTAATTTCAGGGAGTTGTTAGTGACCCAATCAAGAGAAATTTCAGAGGAGTGATGGGCCAGAAGCCACAGTGCAGCGGGTTGAGGGGAAAATGGTGGCAACAGAGAAAGCTGGAATGATTTTCTTCTGGTGTGTACAGACTAATGGGGAAATTGGATTATTGTTTAGCAGCGATAATATTTTCAGCTTCCTGTTTCTGCAATGAGACCAAAGACCATGTTAGATGCAAGCTGCAAGAAAAGGAAAGAGCGTGAGTGTGGGAGGGTAACAGACACGTGCTTGCATCAAAACTGCTGTGTTCTAGGCAAGACCAAGGCCTGGGCAAGTTGTCTCAGCTTTATTTCCCTGTCTGTAGAAAGAGAGAATTCTCTTTGTATAAATATAAAGTTAATGTGACGTGAAAGCAGAGAGGAGATGCAGCGTGGTGTTTGCCCTGCTTCTTCCTTTCCTCAATCTCAGCTGTTCTCTCACCAGGTTCCCAGACTGTCAAAGACCCCAGCTCATCCTGCACGTTGCAAAGGACCGTGGGGGGATCTGTGCAGCTGCAACTGACCTCCTCCTCGTCTCCTGACATCCGAGAGATTGAGTGGATTCGGGATTCTGGTGATGAGAGAGATTTGTTTCTGGTGTCCTGGAAACCTAATACCTCTAATCCTGAATGGTACGGGCTTGAAGAAAAATACAAGCACAGATTCAGCCTAACAGAGCTGGCGTTCTTGATCATCAGAAATCTCAGTATGCAAATAAGTGAACTGTATACAGTGAAAATCAAGTTCCGGTCAGGAAAATCCCAGGAGGAAGCCTTCAGGCTCTGTTTATATGGTAAGGTTTATAGGGACCATGCCCCACACAGGCATTCCAACAAGCACTTTGCTAAAGTAAGTTAAACTAGAAGCGGGTAAAGAAAAAAACATTTTCTAGGAGTTTTTGCATTTCTTCTGATGCACTAAAGATAAAACTAGATTTTAATGATTGCATCCCAGGAAAAACTAGTTAAAATTTTTTAAAAAGTATAAAGTGTACATGAAATGGGGAGAGAGAAGGAGCCACTGAAAAGGATAAAAAAAAAAAACCATTCTTCAATCATAAAAATACTGCAAAATTGATTATTAGAAATACGTAATTATATCCAAAATGTCCTGAATTGGTTGATTGAAAATCAGATTTAAAAATTCTTAAATGACCCAAAAAGTTGGCAACAACAAAACAGAACACCAAAAAGATGAAATAAAAACACCAGGAAGGAGATTGATGTTAGGATGAGTCATTAGGTAAAACACTTTGAGACAAATTGACCTGAAGTCCAGCTGGAGATATCTCAGGGCAAAGCTCTGTCCTGCTCTGTCCAAGTCAAAGATGCAGAAGGCGACCCAGCCGCTGTGCCCTGGGGCTCCCAGGCCAACGAGGAGCCCAACACCCTGCCCCAGGAAGCAGAGAACCTGGGCAGATGTGCAGTGGAG